CTGCCTCCCTCAGGCACTCTTCCTTGACTATTCTAGCCCACTCTAAACTCCTGGTGCACTTCACTTTGAACCACACATTGGTTTTTTTGCTTTAACCTTAACTAAACCATAAGTTCCCTGAAGACTGCAGCTCCTCCTTCCCCAAAAATAAAATATTTACCAGAGTTTGTGCTATTAGCGTCAGACTGCTGGCTCAGCAACTTGGAACCTCTCAATCAAGCTATATAGGTTTTTGGTTTTGTCTTTTTATTAAAAAGCAAAAACAAAGGAAATATGGCTTGTGGTCATGTTCCAAGGTTGGGCTCATGGAACACTGGAGATTTAGAATCTGTGAGGATTTAGGTTTGTTACTCAATAGCAACTTCCATCATCTTGAAGCTGGATGAGACACTCTCTGGACTAACTGATAAGGAAGACCCAAGGTCCTGAGAGGTGCAGTAATTTCTCCACGTCCATGCAGTGTATTGTTCTCCAGAATCCACGGACACCCCAGGCTGCTGCCCTGAGAGGATTCTAAGGGCCATTCCAGAGCACAGTGGGTCTGGTAAAGATAGGGTCAGCTACTGATTTTAACTGGTATTGGAAACACACCCACGGACACCCCAGGCTGCTGCCCTGAGAGGATTCTAAGGGCCATTCCTGAGCACAGTGGGTCTGGTAAAGATAGGGTCAGCTACTGATTTTAACTGGTATTGGAAACACAACACCAGCTTGAGAACATGCTTCTCCAGCACACTACTTACTGCCTTTCTCTGGCCCCGATTTTTGTCAAAAGAACTGCATAAAACATACCACACTTGCTGGGTGAAGCAGAAGCCAGACAGCTAATCCCAGGAAGTTCTCTTTTCTCTTTAAAACAACTTTGGCCTGATTTTGCTCTTTTAATTCCTTGAGGTCATAAAATATAAAATTTACTAGAAATGATTTAAAAAACCCTGGAGACATAATAATGGTCTTTTTATATTTATCTAAGAAACAAAATTCCCAAAACAAGCAAAACCACCCAAACACCTGAAGCTGGATTCTGATGCCTTAAACACCAAGACTTTTCTGTGTGGCAAGAGATGTTTGGTGATCCAGTGTAGTGACATAAAATGATGCTAACATTTTCCTCTTTTAATAGGCAAATGTAACTGAATATTCATCAATGTGGCAAAGTTCAGAAAGAGCTAAGTCTAATGATCAAACAGTCTCAGTTATGAAATATCTTTAAGAAATAGAGTTGGGGCTTCTTTCAAGTTTAAACAGAACATTTACTGAGAACTTCAACATTGTGGGTACTATATATGCAAGACACAGTGCCTGGGAACAACAACTATTTTTGCATTAGATGTGTATTAAATGATTTATAATTAGCATACCAACTGTTTACTGAGAAATTGGGGCTTCTGAAATAGACAAGGATGTCTGAGAACAGTTTTGTGTAGCAAATGACAATTTTAAAAGCCTATTTCCACAACATTATACTTTGATTTTCACAACAGTCCTGTTTATACAGAGTTCTATAAAGATGCTGAGAGCTGACAGGAGAGCTGGAGAGCAGCAGATACTAGACCTTACATTCACCCCAGAACCTATTCTTAGTACCAATTCTCTTCTTAAATCTTGTGATCTGAACCAGCCCCAACAAACAGGTTACACATTCCAAAATGAGAAGAGTTCAAATTAATGGAATTACCTTAAAAAACAAAGGGGCTCAAGATTTTAAAAGGCCTCAGCTCTTTAAGACATTTGCTAAATGCTAACACTACTGTAAACAAGAGTAACTTCATTAATGAGGCACTGAAATTCAATAGCAACATTTATTTACTAAAAAGAAAAAAAGGAGTTAGATAATGAAAGAGGTTTGTTTATTCAAATAGGGACTATGAAAACATTATGTCTAAGCTGACAAATAGCAACTTTTAAAATAAAAAACATAAATTGGTATTTAAATCCCCCATCTATCTTGCTTACTACAGAACACCTTAACGCAGGATGGATAGTGTTGGAGACAAATTTAGTATCTGGTACATTTTCAGTGTATAAGAAAAATGTTCTGCCTGCATACCTCCTTTTAAAAGGACCTGGTAAAGCAGACCCTTGTTTATAGGATGAGAAAATAAGCCATCTTATCATCAGTCCTACCTTACCCTTCATCTGTAATAGTTTTTTATGACAAATTTCAGTTTTCAGAAATTGCATTTCAAGAAGTTGCCCTGCACTGCTGCAGTTCTACAGCCAGAGCTATAGTGTGCATATTGGTGTGGTAACTGTCACCCCTGGCAAGGGGAGGACACTTGATGCCATGGTCTCTCACAGCAGCCTTGGGTTAACCTGCTGGGTCTCACGTACCCCACCCCATCTCCTGCTGAAGCCTGGTTTTTGTCTGGAAATATAAAACCAATTAGTTTCTTATGAGAAAGAAGTTCCAAGACAGTTCACTCTGAGATGTCCACACTTTGGAAGCACTAATAAGGCAGGGAAATAGACTATGCCTTTGTATCACTAATAGAGTAACTGGGTCCGGAAACATTTTGGATCTTTTCCAATAAATGTTTGGCGTCATACGTACTGAATATAATGATAAGAAAATGTAATGACTAGAGAAATATTATGTGCAATGTTAATACGCCAACAAGATGGCTACAGTACAAACTTTCTGTGCAGCTAACTCTTGCTCTAAAAAACAGAAACAAGGAATAGAGACAAATTGGTTAATATAAGAGAAAGACTAGAATAATTTTAAAGGAAAAGAAAAAGAAAGACAAAAATCAAACCTAAAACCTAAATATACAGGTGCCTGACTTAGTTTCTGGCAAAGTGACAGAGTGAAGTTTCATAAGGAAACTACAAGGGCACCAAGTCAAGGTGAGTTTGAAAGTATGTAAAGTAGGGAAGGCCTGCCAAGACAGGCACTCCTCTCAGAATACAATGTCTCCTCCACCTGCTTTACCAGGTAATCAGTGACAGCAGCACAGGGACCCTCAGGTTATAGAAATTCCAAGTCAACTCAGTGCTGCTAAGTTTATTTTAAGCAGGAGATATTTTCTGCCCTTTTCTCTTGAACAATTTAAGGGACTGCATACCTAAGACCTTTTCCCCCTAAATTTCTCATTTTGAAGGGAAAAAACAAGGTCTCTTAAGAAAATAGTAAAAAGCAAATAGATTACTAATTCCATTAACCTATACTTCTTAGGGTCCACTGTCAAAATTTTATTGATCAGGGCTGCCCACTTTACAGACAGACATCTTCCAACTGTACAGTCAGTAACTCCCAAAACATCGCCGATGGCTTATATTTGCACCTTAATGCCCCACTCTAAGTATGTCTTCCCCCAGGAAAACAACTGATATCATCTATATGTAACAGAACACTGATTTTACTTCATTTATTGATTATGTATTCTCATTAAGAAGAAGCTATTATGGTTAAAAGAAAAAAATAATCAGCACAGGCCAGGTGCCCCTTATAAGAGACACAGGACCTGGTTCACATCTTGATTCTGCCAGTACTGCTATACATATAGTTCCTCTAAGACCCTCCTTCCTCACCTAGGAATCAAGATGTTGATCATATTAGCTCATTTGGTCCTCACATTTTAAAAATGAGTTACTGTAAACGGAAAGTGTTATGTTCAAACATGAGAGAGTATCACCATCAGGCAACCAAACCAGATTTCAGCAACACAAATTACATGTTTGAAAACACATCTATTACCTACCTATGTGCTCTGTGCTGTGCAAGGACTAGTAGGTGGAGAGGTGCCCAGTCAGAGGACAAGACCATTGCCCTTGCTGAGCTACAACTGTGATGGGGATCTAAGGAGGTCAAACCAGTCACTGTTTAAGTAGCGACACAACCACCAAAGAGGAAAACTACAATGTAGGGTCTGATTCTTTTTCTAGAGACAAGAATTGCTCTAATCGCAATCCCCTCAATCCATGAGCATGCCCACAAGAGAGTCATACACGAGCCAAGAAAATGAACTGAGCAAGGAGTTATGCCTCACTCTGGGGTCAAACCCGCTGTTTGTTACGTTAAGTCTTCTGAAGTTCTAAATACACGATTCTGTTTTCCACAGTGCCTTTTACTGAAGGGTGTTACTGAAATCATTTTTATTTAGGACAGTACCAGCCACCTTCCCCACTCTCTGGAGGCCTCTAGCTACTCAAAGGACTGATGAGCCAGAGTGCTGAAGAGTTCAACAAACAACTGGCTGAGTGCTTCATGAGTCCACTGTCTGCAGCATGTGTGCAGGGCACAGACACATTCTGCCTGCTCTCCAACAGGCAGCCAAGGTCCTGGTGCCCAGGAGCTACAGGGACAGTCTGCTAGCATTTTAAATGTTCAGGAACAAGCGGAAGGGGTGTGGCAGGGCTGCCTCCACACAGCCTCATCTTGCAGAGAGAAGCACACTGAAGGGGAAGGGGAAAAGGAAGGGGAGGGAGGGAGGCCAAGACAACATGGTTTCTACTGTTGGCCAGCAGTGGGCCAGAACCAGCCCTGGTCATCTCGTTAATTATCATGAGGAACTCTGTGAGAATATCCATCTCTATGTTACAAACAAGGAAAACAGGCTCACAAGGTGAAATAATTTGTCCATGGATCTGGAGCAAGAAAGTGTTGTTTCCAGGACTTAGATGTCTGTGATTCCAAAGCTGTTCTCCATTTCCCACACTAGACTGCCAGAGGCTGACTGCCAGAAGGAAGTGGCAGACCCCTCCTTTCTACCAAGTAATGGTACACCTGGACATGGGAAACCCCTCAAGGACAGGCCAAGCCTACTGGACAGAGGGAAAGGAAGCAAGAACCTAACAAATGGCACTGGCCCTAGAACTGCACTGCCATGCAGCCACAATGACAGCAATGGGAACTTTTCATTATGACATGGGCTGAGCTCAAAGGCAGGGACTCTTTTTTTTAAAGCTTGTATGCAGATTCCCACTCTTCTCTCCCCACACCCTAACTGTATCCCAGACCTGTCTGTTCAGCACCCCTTGCCAAACGGCTGGCTCACCTCCTTATGGGAGTCTTTGTGGGCTTCCAGAGTCTTCATGATGGTCAGTTCAGCGTAGTTTTTAAATCTTGCTGGCTGGTTTCTCAAAATTTCCCGTAAAACTCTCAAAGCTAAGGCTCGAATTGAATGCTGCAGTACGAGAAGAAATGAAGACATCACCACACAATGCACAGCACTTAACTAGACACACCAGCCAGCAGGGCCCAGCAAGGCCAGGTGCCCCATTCAGGGTTCCCTGCATCTTACAGATCCCTCTACGCAGACCACACAGTTTACTTGACACCAGTTCTCCAGACAGTCAGCTCCAAGAGTGCAGACACTGTGTCTTACGTGACATTCCCAAGACCCCGTACCTAAGAGGGACCCAACAAAGGCTTCTTAAATGAGTCTTGCACTACAAACCCAATGGGTATGATACAACTAAGTTCATTATCAATCTGGGATTCTGGTATTTCCTGAGGTGCCAGTATACAAATTATCCTTCTGTAAAATGTACCAAAGGATAGTACAAAGCGTTTAAACATTTCATCAACATGGCTGGTAACTCTCTACGGACAGCTGAAGACCTGTCATTATTTCTGACCTTCTGTGTGATGAGATCACAGGATTTGCACAGGCCTTAGGTTATTTAAGTCCCGATCATGCATCTGGAGGAAAGCCATTCCAAACAGACTCCTAATCTCAATGAAAGAGAATGGAGTTTACACCAAACAGAGCCAGAAAGTACATCCTGATTCTTTGTCACTCATCTGTACAATTCACACACTAATACACCATGTACACCTGCCCTCTATATGACATCATTTTATTTTCCGACAGAGCCAGCCAATACTTTAAGAAAAATTAATACAGATCTTTTATTACCATTCTTCTATCTTTACATATCCCTAAACCAAACTATTAATCCTAAGTACCAGAAAGCATCTGAGTTTCTGTGGCATTACCCAGCCTTCCCCTCAACCTCTGCCATTAGTCACCAGCACTGTGACCCTCGACACAGCCTGTCACCATGCACTGTGTTTAGCTTCCTGGCAATCCTCTCAATCCTACCCCTCTAGCTTTTCACCCCATGTACTGTATTTTTGTTTTTGCTAGCCTACACAGAGCTAATATAGAGAGAGATATTTTTTCTTTTAGAGTTTAATTCTGGCAATTCCCAACAGTTATTCCTGTCTGCACATGAGGGACCAGCCCCACAGATGGAAGAAGGCAGGACTTTGACTACATTACTCCCCCTACTAAGTGCCAAGTGTAGACTGCAGACCTGGTGTGTCACAAACACCTAGTGTGTCATATTCAAATGTCCCAGGGTGAAGAGGGCTTTTTAATTTTAAAGTTAATAATACAAGAGTCATGCTTCTGGAACTTGTCACTTGACCAATTTAAGAACTGTTAAGGTATGTGTAGGTGAACCAATATGGAATTTCATGTAATGCAGCATTTAATGGGTCTTTTTAAAAATGGACTTCTCTTTCTCAATTACACATGAAACAAAAATGAAACTCCCATGGAATAAACTGCATCCTAAAAGAACACATGCTACGCTAATGAAGTTTTAAGAAATTCTGAGTCAAAGTAACGAGACGCAAGAACATGTTTCCTTCACCTACTACAAATCCACTTACAGACAGAATCTGCACATAAGTCAAGATGAGTCCTGTCACTAATAAAAAACATTGCCTTACTAATAAGTGCTCAGAAAATATGTGAAAAATGAACAAATAAATGTTTTGGCACAAACAGTAAGTGCAATCCAGAAGGTAAAGCTGCAGCTAACCCCGGCAAGGAAAGGACACTGAGACCCCATTTGGCAATGTAAGGCCGAATTGGCGCCTACGTCTTTGTCTCCGAGGGTCTCCAGCAGCAGGAGCAGGATGGTCTTGAAGTGCTCCTCCCAGACACCCAGGCTGTCTTCCCGCGTGATCTTGAGCAGCTCCAGCAGGGCACCCTTCCGCTCCTCCACCCGCTCATTGTGGTTGGACAGCTCTTTAAGAAGTTCAGCCACCAGGTCAGAGTGGTCGATGGGCACTTGAGAGACACACAGACAGAAGTTACTTCACAAGGAAACACCCAGCCACAGGGGCTCCCTCCATGCCAAGTCAGCCACCAGGTCAGAGTGGTCGATGGGCACTTGAGAAACACACAGACAGAAGTTACTTCACAAGGAAACACCCAGCCACAGGGGCTCCCTCCATGCCAACCGGCAATCTTTTCCCGTAGTCACCTCACGCAGAGGCGACTCCACCTCACCCCCCCACACCCTCCACACTGCTTTGCTGCCAGCCTCACCCTGTGCCCCCTCAGCACAGCCTCTCACCAAGTTCAGTGTGAAAGCAGAGGTGCAAGACCAGCTACCCAGTACCAGTATTCTATGTCTTTATCCTTCCTTACCATCTTTCCCTTTCTATTTCAAAGAGGAGAAAACACTGGTACCCTCCAAAAGCTCCTTCTTGACTGTTTTCCTTTTCCAAACTCTCTCCTACTGCCACACTCCTGAGTCAGGCCCTACCCCTGGAACAGACTCTTACCAGTATCAAATCCACTCCAGTATAGTAGTTCCCCCTTACCTGCAGTCTCAGTTACCCATGGTCAACCCCAGTCCAAAAATATTAAAAGGAAAACTCTAGAAATAAACCATTCATGAGTTTTAAATTGCACATTGTTCTGAGTGGTGTGATGAAAGCTTGTGTGTCCCACTCCATCCAGCTCAGTTATTGACTCTCACGGTGTTGCAATGCTTGTGTCAACCCACCCTTGCTTTACTTAGTAGTGGCTCCAAGAACAAGAGTGGTGATGCTGCCAACTCGGATATGCCAAAGAGAAGCCATGAAGTGCTCCGTTAAAGTGAAAGACAACCTCTGCATTCCTGGGCTAGGGTTCCGTACTATCCATGGTTTCAGGCATCCACTGGGGGTCTTGGAACATATCCCCCAGAGGATTGGGGGGGGTCTACTGTACATACATTTTCCTCAAGGACCTCCTTACCATCACATCTGATTAACTTCCATTCCCTTCTCAGATGTCCAGAGCTTAGGATCCAGTACAGTGAGCGAATAGCAATCAAGCACTATCCATGGACTGTCTATTCAAAGACTGAAAACCTGCCCAAGATCACTTAGCATAATTACTTGCAGGAACCTGAATAATAGAAAGGTACATCCTTTCTCTTTCCTTGTTCTTTTAAGAGACCACACCTCTGAATATTCAACTTTAAACGGAAAGGATGAAAAAACAAACAAATGAGACAAATCATTAGGAACTACTTAAATGTGTATTTGCTTCCTTCTTTAGTTTCTAAGATTGGGGAGCAAACACACAAGGAAGTTTGAAACATTAAAGAACTTGTCATTTTCTCCTGCCATCCCATCTTTGTCTTTAAGCCTTTCAGTACACAGCTGGTAAATTAAACACTATATACCATTAGCCTACTGCCCAGTAAACCGATGCTTGGACATATACCGAGCTGCTAACCATCAGCAAGTAGCAATTAATAGCCAGGGGATTTTGCCTTCGAACCCCTGAAGCCACTGCTGCTTTCCAACAACTTGGAGGCCTTCTCTTGTCCCTCCGCATTCCATCACTGTGTGTCCTGAGAGAGTGCGGCTGGCTCTACTCTGTGCCCTCATCTGCTTCTACCACTGCGCACCTCTCACACTAGTGTGGTCATTACGAGTGTTTCCCAGGACGGGACTGGACCTCTTTGAGACCTCGCTGTCCCAGCAACCCACACACACACTCCAGGACACACAGTAGGCACTCAGTGAATGGTAATTATTTTAGAGTTCTATTTTAAGGTTCTAACTAAATTCTTCATTCAAACTTGAAAAACAGAACAACAGGCTTCAAAACAAAATAGACAATATATAATTTAACTATATCTAATTCAAAACAATATATAATTTCAAAAAACACTACTAAGTTAAAATAAACCAAAACATGTAAATGACAGTGAGGCAAAAAAAAGAGAAAGTTTAGTTCTCAATAAAAATACCCTTGTACCAATACATACTTACTCACTGCTTACACAATAATGGACACTTAACACGGCAGTCAAAAACACCAACAACAGAACAGTAGCTCTGTTCCATATTACCTGTGTTATATTCTGGGCAAGTAATTTAACTATTCTGAACCTCAGTTTTTTAATCTGTAAAATGGAACAATCCCCTCTAGCTCAATTAGATAACACATGTACAACACTTAGGTCAGCACCAAGCACATGGTAATACAAGTTCTCAGTGTATGTTAGATCTCCTTCCTCCCAACCACAGCACAGAAGTCAACATCGCATAGCTCCAGAAAGACTTGGTGAAAATACTGGTGTGAGAGAAGAGGGAAGCCCCTCAGCAGTGCTTCAGGGTCTCACTGCACTGCTCAGGGAACTGAAGAGTACAGGGTAGAGGCCTTCACAAACGCTGAGCCCTGTGCGGGAGAGGCCCAGGTTCTGCACTGAAGCCTCCTCTGATGGGACAGTGAGTCCCGTTCATGCACAGGTGTTGCAGCCGCAACATTACATCGTTTGTGTAACTGTTTATTTCCCAACTCTCTGCACACCTGGACTGCTTATGCTTTTGCTCACTGATGTGCCCTCATGCCTAAGCAACAGCAGGGACTCAGGAAGTAGACTTTGAGCCAGTGACTAACAAGAGCATGCTCTTCGTTTCCATTTACGTTCAACCAGCATGTCCAGGGTTGGCTGGACAAGAGGGGAAGCATGTGGAAGGTACCTCTGGACAGGGACAACTAAGCAAAGGGACACAAACCGTCTCGAAGCTGCTCCATGTCATCGTCAAACACGGCCTCCTTCAGGGCTGTCTTGTCATAGGTGTTGATGGTATCAGAGTAGGGATAGGGATTGTAGTCTCGTGCCCGTTGCCCTGGGAAGGCACGTGGAGGCTGCGTGTTGAGGAGGGAGGTCTTGTTATCCAGGGCTGTCCTGCCTCCTTCCACCTCACTGCTGCCACGGCCCTCAGTGGCGGGGGAGGCAGCCCCCCCATCGCGGGACACCTGTAGCACAGCATATGGTCAGTTCCCTTCTGGGACTTTAATAGACTTTTCCTTTCAATGCTCAGAAACATTAGGAAGGACAGCTAATTAGGATTTCAATTTGTAAATACCAAATTCATAAACCATCATAAATGGGACAGAATATGCCTACATTTGCACCTATTCTCTCATCCATTTACACATCAAATCTGTTTTACATTGTGATTTGGCAATTTTAGTCCAACGTTTTCTGAGGGATTAATAGCATGAAATTCTGAAGAGTCCCTTGAGAAGGGAAGGCTGTCCCCTCTCACACCCCCTTCTGGAGGACTCTGGCGTGTGGGCACTGTGGCCTGTGGCTTTCATTACCCACAGTAAAAGGCCTTCTCACGGATGCCCGGACCCAACACCCATGGAGAGAAGCTCACCAACAGCTGCCTCAAAGTCTACAGTGCTCCAACCATCCCTGAATTACTTCTTTGTATATATTACTGCCAAGTGGTAATTGTTAATCATCTCTAATGATGAGGAACCCAATCCTCCTAGGCAGATCATTCTTCCTCTGGGTATTTCTGACTCAGAAGTGTTCTATACACCGAGTCAAAGAACTGGTCTGCAGTATTTTCTGAATATTGTTTTTTTCCCTAGTATATTCTGAGTGCTGTCTTCAACAACCACTGGTCCTCTGACAGGCCCCTGTGCAATGGTTTCGACCCCCTCCACTCTCAGGGTCCTCTCCTTGGAAGCACACGGGCCTGCAGCTCCTTTACAGGGTGGCACTGAGGCTGAGCAAGTGTGGGATGACTGTCAGCAACAGGGAAGTACTGTGGCCTCCTCATTCCTGACCACACTGAGGACATGGCAACATTATTACTTGTGCTGCTGACACCATACAGCTCTGTCATTTAGTGCTTATGCATTTGGGTTTTTTTTTTTAAGTTGTGGTAAAATATATGTAACATCATTTTAACCATTCATAAGTATACAATAGTGACACTGAATACATTCACAGTGTTGTGTAACCATCACTACTATGTATACCCACAACTTTCTCATCATCCAAAAAAACAGTCTGTACTCATTAAATAACTCTCTCTTCCCTCCTCTCTTTCCCCAGCCTTTGGTAACCTCTGTTCTATTTTCTGTCTCTATAAATTTGCCTATGCTAAGTACCTCATATTAGTGGAATTATAAAATATTTGCCCTTTTGTGGCTGGCTTATTTCACTTGGTATGTTTTCTAGGTTTATCCAGGTTGTAGCACTTATCAGAATTTCCTTCCTTTTTAAGGCTGAATGATATTCCGTTGTATGGAAGTATCACATTTTCTGTATACATTCATCTGTTGATGGACATGAATCATGGTACTGTGAACCCTGGTGCACAAATATCTGTTCAAGTCCCTGCTTTCAGTTCCTTTGGATTATATTCCCAGTGGAAATGTTGGGATGCATTTGGTTTTTAACACTCACAAACAAGATTTTATATTAATTTAATTAAGATGTAAAAAGTATATAATACATGCACAGATATGAACAAATTAAGACTTAAAAGATATAAATCAAATCTTAATGGGGCTTTCTCTGGGTAGAAGAAAATTCATGGATGATTTCAATTTTTTTCTCTTTGTAACTTTTCTAAGAAATATATTACTATTATAACTTTTAAACAATCATTCATAGAAGGACAGTTTAGAAAACTTCAGACACTTAAAAAATAAAGCTAACCTATCTAATCACCTTTAACAACAATAAAATCTTCCTTTTTTAGGTTATATATTATCCCACTCTTTGTCTACGTGTAGATTTTTATTCAGGGGGAACCCCAGTGCACACACTAGCTTATACCTTGCTTTCCTCACAGCATAAGCATTTCCCATGTGAATAAAGTTTTTGTAACTATCATATTTACTTGTGTTTTAATAAGATTTACTCAACTATTTCCCCCCCTTTTAAAAAAATTTTTCCCTATTGTATATTATTGCTGAAATAAATTACTTTGTGGAAACAATATTGTTCTTTCCTTTGGTTGAGTTCTTTATTTAGTGTTGATCACCCAAGTTAGACTACTGGGTAAAGGATATGAAAATCATTTTTGCTAAATATAATATTACTGAGTTCCAAAACAACTGTATCAATTTCACACCCACCAATATTAGACAGGTTCCTTATAACCTTTCTAGCATTAAACGTTGTAATTTCTACTTCAAACAAAGCAGAGGAGGACTGCAATGTACGTCCACTGTATTTCTGAAGTTACTTGTAAGGATGGACCTTCTCCCCACATGTTTCATCTCTGCTTGTGTGAACCATCTGACCACTGGATCTGACGTCCATCCTCCTGGACTTCTGTCTTACTACAGCAGGTCTACTCATCAAGCTTAAGATGTGCTGGCTCTGGAGTCCTTCGCATTTAATGCAGTTTCTGTCCACCTCAGCTTCTTAGCTAAAAGCCTGGTAAACCGGTGGCTAAGATGTTGCATTTGAACCTCCTCAACTGTTGGATTTTCACTTCCACTCCACTAGTGCTTTCACCTCTCACAGATGTATCCTCTAGCAGGAACAGTCCCATTTCTGGAATGCTGCATCTTTACGTCTTGCTTCCTGACTCTTTCCAGCCCTACAGCTCATCTTACGCTCCATTCCTTCGACTCTACCTACCCTTAGGTAACACCTATGCTTCTCCATCCTCGCCTTCTTGACTCTTTTTTCTCCCTATCAAGCTTCACTCCTTTCAGCTCTCATCACAGAATTTTCATACTTTGAAAAATTAGAGATCATCTAAATGTTCCAAATCAGGACACTGGGTACATGTCTCCAGCACATCCATATGACAAATTATCACGCAGCCATGAAAACTCACATACAAGAATACTGACAGGCGAAAGCAGCACAGTCTATGCCAAATAGGATGCACAGTGCGTTGTCACCTTTTATATAAACAACAGTCTACACACTCCCAACACTTAAACATGATAAACACTCATAAATAAAGAGAAAAATATATCCTAAAATGTTAACAGTAGTTATCTCTAGATTTCTTTCCCTGCCTCCCCCAACTTTCTAAGTACCTTATATTGGGCATATATTACCTTTATAATTGGAAAAAGTAATTCCTCATGCATCCATCTTTTCCTAGGGTCTCTATTCTTCTTGGCAGGACTTTGTTTTCTTAGTCAGATCCCCCATTCCCCACGGGAGCTTTGGAAGCCTTTCTCACTCTCCTCACCTCAACCGAGCCCCAGGCTTCCAAGCGGTCTCCTTTCTGCCCAGAGAAAGCAGGAGCTGCACGCTCTACTTCCTGCCCCCAAGCCCACCCAACCTCCTTCTGGGTAAAACCAGTCATTTTACCTGGGCCCAAATCTCTTGCCCTCCATCCCCCTTTTCTGAAGGATCTGTGTCCACCAAACATCCCCTTCTCTCCACTATATAGGCAGAATTTTCCTCTCAACTGGTCCCATCGGCATTTACACGGGTCAGGTCTCTCCCACCTTTGGGCCTGTGAGCAGGAGTGCTTCTCTGACTACGACCCTCTTACCGACCTGACAAACTCCTCTTGAACTTCATGCTTCAGTTCAGGGGGTGACATCATCTCTTCTGCACACCCTTCCTGAGCACCAAGGCTGCTGAGCCCTGACCACGCCCCTGCACCATGATCCTGCACTTATCTGCCTGCCTCTCCCATGAGACTGGAGGCTCCCAGAGAGCCATGCTGGTGTCTGGCTCAGGCTCACCATTTTTATCACATCACAGGTACAAAAATATGTCCAGCATAAATGAAAGTATACTGAGAAAAAACAGTATTTAACATTCCTCGCAAAGACAGCTGAGGGTTATTCTTTTACAACTTTGTAAAACTGCTTTGGGTCTCTTATAATACTACTATTCTAGTATAGGATAAAAATAATGATGAAGCTCAGTAACCACGGTGGTCAGTGTTGAGGAGACTCAGTAACTGCCATTTAATTAACGTGCAGTTCTCTATTAGCCTGGGGATACTTACAATATCACTGTCCTTTTTGCCATCTCGTTTAATTGGCTCATTCAGATCCTCTTGGCTTCGAAAACTAAACTTTTCAATGGCTTCTGTAACTCCACGCAGAGAACTATAGATTTCTTCAGAGTTCAGGTTCTCTGTATCAAAGTCCAGCATGCTAAAGATCAAAAAGATTTTATTTCTTAAATTGAGGTGACGCACAAAATCAAGATATGGGCATAAGTTACTTCTAGTAATTTACAGAGTAAGATATAATGACAGTTTTGTTTCTTTAGGTGATTTGGAATGAACAGGAGACGACTTTTGTTAGAGTACCACCACTGGACAATTATACATCTTTCTTGTCAAATCTGGTCCCAAACACACTATTATCAGCATTCAATAAGAACCAGTGGGAAAAACAATAACCACAAGAATGTAGGAACTCAAAGAGTGACAACTAGTGACTGAATGCACGAGGTAATGAAAGTGGAAAAATAACTTTCTTATCTTGAAGATGGAAAAAAGTAGTTTGGTTGTTACTGGTCTCAAATGTACAAACTTAAGAGGAACGGGCACTTGAAAAAAAGCTAGTATTACAAACAAATTTCAGAGGAGCAAAGCAAACAACCTGACAAGACTAGGTTTTGCTCACCAATGTCCAATCCAGAAAAACTAATAAAACACAAAAACAAGATGACCCTATGAATCAAAGTCAGATTCACCCTACCAATGGTCTCCTGAGAGTCTGACTCTCATGTTATCTAACCCAGGGGCTGGCTGTGAATACCAGACTCTTCTAGATGCTTCCATTTCGAGTTTTGAAACAAAAGCAGATCTTATAAAGATGAGTCACATTCCTGGATAGACCTCTAAAAACAGTTCTAAAAGCAAGAAATATTTGTTCCTCACAGGAAAGTGATGTCAACTGCTGTTCTTTTAGTCACTGAACACAGCAAAACATGAAATGAAGCAAAAATGCTAAAAGCCTTTTGGTTTTAGTTTTTTTGTTGTAATTTGTCAACAAGTGCCTTTTAGATGTCTGAAAAGTATGCTGAAACAGAGGGTATCCTGAGAACAAAAACCACCACAGTCCTTCACTGAGAATACCAAGAAAAGCGTAGGATGGACATATAATACAAAGAAAGCAAAGCATGAAGCAATGGTCAGCCAAGGGCAAGTCAAAAAAATCTTAGTTTCAATGTAGCTTGCTTCAAGAAATATTCAAGAAAAGATCAGATGAGTTAGTCTAATTTAACTTGCACGAAGTCCTGAGCTATACTGAAGACTGCTAGGGACACTCGAAGTATCCTTGGCTGTTTTGAGAAGCATGCAATGTTATTAGGGGATAAAGCAAATTTTCTGTTCCTCAAAAGAGTAATAACTGAGGACACGAGGCACCCACTGGCTGGAACCCTTCCTAAGGGCAACCTAACCAACCCTGTACATTCCCACAAGTGGCAAGTTTCCTGTAACTTAAGAACAATTATCCCCAGGCTGGCCAGCTGCCAAAAAAAGAAGAACAATGAACATTTGCTAAACCCCTCCCCCTATCTTTTTTTTTTTTTAAAGGTTTGGGCGGATGAGCAAGACAAGACTTAAGAGTAACCAGATCTTTGCTGGCTTGAGGTTGCAATGATCCAAGTGTTTTCTAAGGCTGGTTAGGTTCTGCTAGACCACAAGCTCTGAATTCATTCAGATATGGAAGTTATTTGCCTAAAATTACAAAAGTGACCCAGATAGAACCCATCTTTCTTTTCTGATAAATGTAAGAAAACACACACCCCAACTGCATTTGGAGAGTTCACAAAAATATGTGCCAACTCAAAGATTGGCTCTAACATCAAATGAAAAGAAACGTGAACCTTGAACACGTTTGCAGCTGAAATTCCGTGTATATACTAACAGGAAGTGGAATAAAAAAACCTGAACAGAATTCAAGGTTTCAAACCCTCCTATGTTCACAAGGCTATCTATGAGCTGACACCACTTGGATGTGAAGAAAACAGGACTGCAGAGCACAGAGGATCCCCACCACCCTTTTCTCAAACACAATACTAGCTTACATGTGAGCAAAAGCATTTATACATCTGGCCAGTACACTATATTTTATATATAAAGACTGAGTATTATGACTCAAACAAAAAATATATATACGAGATGTAAAAAAAATACCTTAAAATACTTTTAATCACAACGATCAAAAATAATAGCATAGCCCATGCAAAAGAAAAAAAAAACCAAAAACTGAAAAAATGATGGGATGGACAAGAGGAAGGTCTGGTGGAACGTTCAGTTTTTTAAGGGATGTCACAATATTATTTTCCACTTGTCGCTTCAGATAATGTTAACTTTCAGATAATTCATTTCATTATTTTTAACCTAAACTTTCTTAAAATATTTCATTTCAGTTCATATCACTTTATCATTATAATAGCCTCTTTTTAAAATAAGAAAGTAAAGAATTCTGCCAGTCAATGTTCCTCCTTCTCACTTACAATTAATAAACCAACTCAAACTTCCAATCCAGGAGCACCATGTGCATGACCATGTACAATCTGAGGTGACTTCTTTTGGACTCACTAGCTTAGGTTTGAAGTATCTCCTTGGTATGAAGCTAAAACCATGAGCTCTAGGTGAGAGACATAACTGTTTCCCTCTAACAGGAAACAGACAATGCTACTTTCTTTACTGTTTTTATGCTTTGGCTTTGATTTGTCTTTATTTCAAATCAATAACTGTAAGCCCTTACTTCATAGGGAAAAAAGAACTTGCCATGAATGCCATCATCAAGGTGTGGGAGATCACTGTGTCCTGACAAGCCACACATCAGGGAGCAGCTCAGAAGTGTGACTGGGAAGAGACTTAGGTAAATCTCTGTCTGCCACCTGACCCACAGTCTGTATTGTTTCAGCTCTGAGACACCCCAGCACATAATCATTTGGGTTAAAGGCCAGGTCCTAGTCACCTATAAATACTCAGATTAAACCCCAGAGGGGCTCCCTTAGGGTTCTTTAGATAAGGAAGAGTTACTCAATCAGTCAATAATCACTGACCTAAAGTCAGGCCATGTCATCTAATACTGAAGTTGAATACAGCCCTGGGCTCACCCTGCAAAGGATCCTTATCATGGGTGGGGAGGACCACTGGGTCAGGTCTTCAAGAAGACAGAGAGAGAGAAAGTCTGCCTTCTGACATTTTCTTCTTTGTTATTTTGTAGGGAAAGGATATTAGGTATGGAAGTAAGGATAATTGTTCCTTGTTATAAAATTAACAGGGTTTTGGCATATAGCAGAGACAGACATGGATTACCTCTTAGTTTTATGTAAACATTAGGTTTTCTAAATGTAAAAGTCTCTAGTAAACTCTCTCTCTTTCCAACGCTTAACAGAAATTACAAGCATTATCTGTTAATGAGTTATAGCAACATTTATATTTTTGCACATATGTGAAAGATGATTCTAGGAATGGAATGTTCTTTGGAGAGGCAGTTTTGACAGCTTGCTGGGAAGACTGGCTGGGGGTGAAGCTTAGTGCCCATAAGGGCATACACATCAATATATAGGGAGACAGTCAGTAAGCTGATCTTACACTTTGAGGCACAGCTAATCTTTAGGGGGAAAAAAAAAAGTAGTGACATGCTTTGTTAACATTAAAGACAGCAGCTGTCTTGTCTGCTTGCCCTACCCAACCTTGTGTATCTAGAAACATTCATCATACGGTTCTTTGGGCACTTCAGAAGTTACTTTTAGAGTAACTTCTGAGCTATACTGAAGACTGCTAGTATTAGTCTGTGAGAGCTTCAGAAGAAAGACGTCATTAAAATATTTAGCTGACTTGTCTACTGTGTTGAGCTTCACTTAGGCTTCACTATGTTGACAATACAAAAGTAGGAATGCAAATAAAAGCTATCTACTAAGCATATCAAACATAAGACTGTTTCTTTTTTTTTTTTTTTTTAAATCCTGTGCTATCACAGAGCATACAAACTCATCTTACAAAGCACATTGACAGCAGGACTGCTCTGTGCTCTGCTCACATAATTACAGGCTTCTAAGGAAGGAATTCTCCGACCTTTGGACCTTTGTATAAAGCATCCAAGAGACCCTCAAACATGCATCTGTAGATGCGTCTGTAGTACTATGCAGACCCTTCTTCACACACAGATTTACTATCTGTCTTAACATCTGAGGGAAGCCCACCCCTTCTTCTAGACTCATAACAGAGTCATATTCAATCAGTGTCTATGAGCCTCACTGAGCACAACTCAGGGGTTTGTGAGGTGACCGACAGCCCTCCTGTCAAGAGGCAGGGCATCTTCAGTGAGTGTAACAGTGATCCCACCTCCCAGGGCTTCCTTTCTGGATTTGTGTGCTCAAACTACTACCACATGACAGTACATTAGGAAAGAAATCAGCCACATGGTCAACAGCAGGGCTGACGGCGACATGTGTGGTCTGGAAAAGAGCAGGTCCCATTTGCTTCGTAGTGGAGTGCCTTGAGTGCCTAAGACATGTGCTAAGGAAACTGTTCCCATTATCTCCTGCCTTGATCTCATGGCACTTCCTGAGCTCCTTCTTGGGGCTGAGTACTATGCTGGACCACAAGGCCTGAAACAGTAGATGGTGATAAATCTGGTCAGGTGATGGAAGGGTGATTTGTCCCTGTGACAGGCAGGAGCCATACTCGTGAGATCTGGCAAAAATCACACCTACTCACACTTCTCACCAAGGCTCTATTCCTGCTGGGCTAAGCCAAGGCAGGGACCACACTAGAGGCAGCTGAGAGGCTTTCCAAAAGACCTGAGACGACCTTGGAAATGCAATAATATTGTGACACCTCAGACAAGTTTAACAGGTAGCTTGTTACCTGGGAGAGTAAGAGCGCCTGAGAGTCTTGTGGGAGGGAGCGGTGGGGATGGAGTTAGGCTGGGAAAAAGGAGGTGGGTGCTTCGATAACCCATCGGCACTCCAACCCCACAACCGACTGCAGTGATCAGAAGAGGAAAATCAGAGAGAGACACAAAAGGCAAAGGGGAGAGGAGGAGGCAGACACTAGTTACAAGTCTCTTAGAGTCTCCTCTTTCCTTGACAAAGTTCTACAAAGTTAATAGGAGCAAAATTAACACTTCACCATACAGAGAAAAAGAACAAACTTCATTTTACGACTTGGTCCTCAATAAGACTGCTTTATTCTTTTCTCTCCCAACCATGGGGTGCATTTACTACTTAAACCACATGAGATTCTAAGTATGTCTACGTGTGAGAGTGTGTCTGTGTGTGAGTGTGAGAGAGCATGTATCTGCCTAAAAATATGAATGTTCAGTTTTAGATGACTCATCAGTTATATTATAAAGAACCAACGAAGGAATTATGGGGCCTCAATTAAAACAGAATTTGAATTGTCCAGAGGGACTACAGCAGGCAGACTCAGAGACTGTGCTACTCTATCCAGAGCACTCCAGCGTGGGACAATGTGCCCCGTGAGGTGGGGACCCAATCTGGGTGGAGTTCCAAGACTGCCAAAGGTGATTTCCTTCTGAGGGCTAGGGCTTTAAGTCTCAGGTGGCCAGCTCAGAATATTCTTGTGCTCATACTGCCTAATACAAGAATTAAAATACATCTGGGACACACAGGTATTTGTTTTCACTTCACAAATGTGGTGATGTGGGCTTGCAGAGGCCCCAAAGGGAAGTTCTGACAACTGTTGCAATTTGAAAGGGTGGAGTGAGAGACTGGGAAAGTTGGGGAGCTGAACTGGTTGGTAATATGAGGCGAGGCAGTGGGGCAGGGACCCTGGCATCAGAGACAAAGTGCTTTCTGAGCAGTCCTAACTGTCACTGGCATTCATCGTAGTTCTAAGAGCAGGAGCCCCTGCATGCTAGTGTCCCCCTATGCACAGTTATGTCCTCCATTTTGTAAGGAAAACAAGGTGTGGAGATGAGAAGTCACTGCAGCATGGAGGACTGAAGACCTTCTCCGAGTAACACACTGGGTGGGGGGTCGGGGAAACAAGAGGAATTTGGATGACACCTGAGGCTGGGGCTCTGTTGACCAGTGAGAAGAAAGCAGACAACCACCTCTGAGTGTGGGGTGGGGTCTTCCCATTAACTCCCACTTTAATTCTATAGATACTCTTGATTCTTTGATGAGAAGAATGCAAAATCCACCTAAAATTACTTTTTATTGCTAGCGGACACAGAGGTTACCTATATAGTGCCATTCTGCTCTATGAAATGTCTGCCAAGAGTGCACAGGAGACTGGCAAGGACCACTGTATACCTTCTATAATACTGCGTTGATAAAAACGATGTCCTTACCAGTTGTATTTTTAAAAAACTACCAAATTAAATTTGTTCATCATTTTAGAATGGTTATTTATTATCACCATGATCCAAGTGTAGAATTTCTGGACTAAAAATATGTAGTTCATTTTGGTACTCAAAATCAGATTAAAAACAAATAATTGATAACAGCTTTCCCCCTTAAGAATAAAAAGCTGACATCATATGGTCAAGATCATTCAAAAGAAAAGCAGGTCGCCGAAAATCAACGTTTCAAGAGCACTGCTCAGAAAAATAGCTGAGATTATATATGGCAGAACTTGTTCATCACTTCCTCAGAATGTGGTAACCCAATCAATTCTCCTACTTAGTGTAAGAATTCATTTCTTCTATAATCTTCCTGTAGTCTATTTGGCTATTTTTAGTGACATGATGACAAAAGGAAGTTATTCCCACTGCTAGATAGTTTTAGTTGTGACAAAAATCATTTCTCCTATTGAGCTCAAGTTGGCTGAGGCCATCTAGCAATTTAAGCACTGAATGAGAGCTTTTTTTTTTTTTTTTTAAATGAAACCACATAACTAAATAATTCCCTAAAGAAAATATTTAGGCCACACTTGGACTTTATAATATTGAAAATAAATCTCTTCATTTCTTCCACTGATATGTAACCTTAACAGTAAAAATTAAAACCAATTAAGAGAAATAGAAATCTGGAAAAATAAATGAACATTTTTAATGATTTGGGGATCCATAAAGATCTATCCAGTTCTTCACGCTGATGGATTATGCTAGCAGTCTCCACCAATTTTTTACTTAGGCTATTCATACATATAATAATAAAATACTTAATTTGAATTATACTTTTTTGTCTATTACCTAAAGAATGTGCCACTCTAATACTGCAATAGCTAAACGATAAGATGTATGACCCATGTATTATGGAAGAACAGACTTCCCAATTAATATTGCCAAAGTATCACTTGAAGACAAAGGCAACAATTTACAGACAATACAAGTTTTCCATAAAATTTTCCCCACTAGGAAAGAAAAGTTTATGATTTTACTGTCAACACTGAACCTAGTCATTTAAGAAAATCAAATACTTTAGATATAGATGTTAGCATTTTTTAAAAAGTTGGCTAAGCCTCAGCCACACTTGCAGAAAGTCAGACATATTTTCATTAGTTTCTGTTCTCAATTGTCCTATTATAACACCCTGCTGAAATCATGACAACACAGACTAAGTCTGGAAACATAACATCATACTTCATAATACCTAGATAGAGTACAGAGGGACATTTGGGGGAGTAAACATAAGGTAATATAAACAGCAAGATCCTATAGATATATAAAATACTTTGCTTCACCAAGAGAAAAATATAATTAGATAATATTCTGTAATATTCACAGGATAACTGAGGAACTAAAGAGAACTTCAGTGGTAAGGAAGGAGTTTGGGAGACTCTAGATCATTTAAAAATCTAAATTTCAAAGCACTTAAGTTATGATATCTTTGTGGTAAAGAGGTAACCCTCAAAGGGAAAATGACACACATTGCAGTATTTTCGTTTAGTCTTATGTGTCAGTAACCCTCAGGACAAAAGTCTCCTGGTTCCTATTGTTAGTGATTGCAAAGATCTGAACTTGTTGTGGGCAAACACAGCAGGATTCCCTTCGCGGATCCAGGAGCTTGCTCTTTCCTAAAAATACTGTCTTGTAGGGCCACTTCTCTGAGTGGGGCCATGAGTGACTCCAACCCATGTGAGGGGTCATTAAAGTCACCATGCAAACTTCGAAAGACTGGCCAGATGGGAAAAGTGTTATCTCAAGATCCTGAGACAAGGCACTTTCTCTTTTGAAGTCACTGCCCCAGACTCTATAAAGCCAATGTTCGCATGGTCCCAACAAGAGTCTGAAAATGCTGATCCAATTTTAGTTCTCAGACTCTAAATCACAGTCTTTTGTAGCAGCATTTTGCTTCAAAATATGACAGCAACTATGCTTGGAATGACCACTTGTTTGGAAAACTACCCCAGGTCTGGTGTGGGCTGACTATAGAGGGTTTATTTAGATGACTAAATACCTTCAGGTTCTCCTATTACTTGTAGGACAGGTAATGAATTTATGTAAAAGATGGATTCTACATAAAACAGTGTTTAACAGTACTTAAATGCAACTTTTAGTTGCATACAGGGGCTGTCCAGTTAGCTCACTTGGTTAGAACGTGGTGTTAATAACACCAAGGTTAAGGGTTTATATCCCCACACCAGCCAGCCACCAAAAAAATAAAAAATAAAAAAAATTTGTACAGGACTAGGGAGTGTTTGGAGGTAGAAGAACCACAGAGAACATTTAGCACAAACCACTCATTTTACTGCAGAAGTTAAAACCCTGTTACCCAAGATTACACAGTTACAATTTGAGTGAGGACTAGAACCCATGGTCTCCTGATACTCAATACTCTTTTTGGTATTGAGCTTAGGCTAAAAATCTAGAAATAAACTGCACAGATATTGAGGTGCTTTAGTTTCTTCCCTTCTGTGAAAATGACCTCACCTTGGAGACAGACCGCCATGGGAACAGTTGGTGGGTGAGGTCAGTGGGCTGGTCCTGCTGCTGGTGTGTCGGGAGGGTGTCCGGCCAATAGTATTGCTTGGAGAGCCCTGTGGTGAAGGCAGAATCAGCATTATTATTCAAGGACTGTGTACAGAATATAGTTCCATTCTAACCTAGATGTAAATAAATGGGTAGAATCTGCTCAGAATGATTTCTTTTTCAGAATCATAAGGCCAATTTTAAGTGCATATAAACCACAAATGGATAACTGTCCTATAGACATTCTTGGAGTTGAATGCCTGACGTTGGTTGTACTAGAGTGACAAACACAATCGAGCATTTGCATCTTTACAGTGTTAAAGAATAAGACCAATTCAATGAATGAGTGAAAAATTAAGTGACCTAGTAAAAATTTAATTGATTGAACAATCTAACCTAAGAAAAAAGCCATATTTAAATACCAGGTTCATTCATTCTTTGGGAATATGACAGAATAAGACTTGGTTCCCACCTTGAGAGGCTCACAATCTACTAAAAGAGAAGAAAGAAGCTGGCTATTCTACTAGATTAAGTTCTAGACAAGGGATATGCAGAGGTCATGATCAGCACAGACCCATCAATTGCAACCAAAGCACTGACCACACTGGTGTTACTGGAATTCTTGAGGTGGTTATGCAGGAGTTTGGTGGCACCGTCCTGAAATGTTTTTGGCAAGGCACCAAGTAACATGGTAAATTCAGGCGTGTTCAATTCAAACAGAGAGATTAGCACAATTTGTGCTGCCTAGAAAAAGAAACCATGATTAATTTATGTAATGTATATAATAGCATGTATTGGTCAATATGTTCATTAAAATTGTTTAAAAAAGAAAACATTTTGGCATAAGTAAAATAAATCACTAATGAGAGGGTACTCCTGGCATAAAAAAACAAAAATAAAAAGCATCTGGAGAAAATAATATCATCAATCATAAATAGTCTGATTTCAATCTGGAAAATAAACTCAGGCTTCATTTTAACGCCCTCGTCTTGGATTTCCACAACATGTTGAAAATAAATTCCTATAACTTTTCCTTTGTCGTCTTTTACTTTGTCTTTACTAGGAAGGAAGCCAGTAAATAGGTAAATGAAATAATAAAAAAAGTTTAAAAAGGCTTAAGATTGTTCCCACTCTAGGTCAGAACTAGACAGGGCTCCCAGTGTACCCTGGAAAAGAACACTTTTTTTTTTTTTTTTGTCTTTTTCCGTGTCCGGCAACGGATCACAACCCTCAGTGTTGCCCCCGTACCGGACCGGGGACCGGCAACGGGATTGCAACCCTCGGTGTCGCTCCCGCGCCTCACTCAGCCAGTGAGCGGGAACCGGTCTGTATGTGGGATCCGAACCCTCGGGCGGGAGCGCCGCCGCACTTCCCAAGCGGCGCACTTATCCAGTGCGCCACCGGGCCGGCCCCGAAAAGAACACTTTCTAAACAAGCTGCCAGTGGGTTATCTTGGAAATCACTTTTCCTCAACCCCAATCTTCCTGATGAAGAGATACTAGAAAAAAAGACAGAATTTAAAAACATCTGAAAAACTCCTACTTTTATACCTATAAACCAAGGAAAGGGACTTTTGGGAAGTAGACTTTGGATGGCATAAAGTAAAAACTTGCTCTTCTGCCTTTTGGAAAATGTTCTACTTTTCTTTATTAACTGATACGACATACTGTAGGACTGCTTGTAATGACAGTAGCAGCAAGGTGGGGAAAGCAATCAGCTGCAGTAAGAGTAGCCAAATGAGACTTAGGCTTTTCCAGCAAGTCACGTGCTTTCTATGGTACTGATTTAGTAGCAGGCAATGTGAGCTTAAAAAACAATGCCTGAGGAATTAATGACAAGAGTTTTGATTTACAAAAGCTAAGCCAAAAGAAAATTTTAGTAAACACCAATTGGCATTTCTTATTAATTTCTAAGAATTAAGAGAAAGGAAAAAACATTATGGAAAAACTGTTTCCATGTATACAATAATTTCTTTTTTATTTTTACTGAAAGCACAATCTTTTCGTAGACTGCAATTTTTAGGATTTCAATAATTATCTGGAATATTTTTTTCCACAACACAGACTATTACATAAAAATGTGCTTGCTGAGAAATTCTTTGGACATAAACATCACAAAAATATTTCAATGCTTTAACAATGTTAAAATTAAATTCTAGGTCCATCTAGGACAGAACTATTTTGTGCACAGAGAAGGAAAAATATCCAAAAACCTAAATGTATTTAACCAAAAGTAAAATTATGAATTAAAAATTATCAGTAGAATAATGTTCTTTATAGAATCAAAACAACTTTTTCAACATTTCAAAAGCATTCATTAAGCACAGCATTGGGCAAAACCACATAACTTTTTTCCCTTGATCTTCAAATACAGTTATTAACAGCCTTTCCACCCAAATTAAATTACAAGTGCCCAATGTACTTTTATGACACGAGGAAAAAAAAATAGTACTAAAATATGCTTTTCTCTGTTTCATTACTGAAATAAATTACATTTAAATAAATGATTATTTGAAGGACACTATTTCACTGACAACTTAATATACTGTTAACATGATTTGTATGTTTGTATATTAGAACAAATTCCAAAAAGCATGCAAAATAACCTGTGTATTTAAAAAACATTTTTTTTATTAAACGTTAGGAAAAAAACACATGCAAAAAAAATTGCACTGCAAGGAGAAAGAAAGAAGCAGATTGGAGTTTTAGTATGGAAAAATCCATCACTATGATCAGTTTAATAAGAATGTACAGGCACTTAGATCTGTTGATTAAAATGGCATTTGAAAATTATAAAACGTATCACTACATTCTTTAGTAGTATATTTTATGTGAAATGTGTCACTGTCTTTATTTAAGAGACCATATTTCTTCCAAGGATATGTTATCTGATGCCACAAACTAACTTGAGGTTTTTCATGAAACAAATTATAAAATTAGTGGGATCTTTTAGGAACATGAGGGCTGTGAGACAACAGGCTTAGAATACCTGTGCAAACTCATAGCTACTTAGCAGTAGTGACTTTTATTCAAGCAGGAAAAGAAGTGCAACAGCCTTTTAACTTCTGACCCACTAAACAATCTTTTCTCAATGATTTTTTACAAGAAATCAAATAGAAAGACAGGGAATTTTGAAAATATAATTACATGGACAGATAGTGTGTGTGTTTTACACATACAACAGTCAGCCCCTTATCCACAGAGGATGTTTCAAGACCCCCAGTGGCTGCACGAAATCGTGGATAGTACACCAAACCCTACACACACACACACACACACACACACACACCTACTATAAAGTTTAATTTATAAATGAGGCACAATAGGAGATTAAAAACAATAACTAATAAAATAGAATAATTATAACAATATACTGTAATAAAAGTTAGGTGAATATGGGCTCTCTTTCAAAATATCTTACTGTTCTGTACCATGGGTGACTGAAACTGCAGAAAGCAAAACCGTGGATAAGGGAGGACTACTGTATAAATAAATATTATTTACTTTTACGTTCTCAAAATATAAAATGTAAATGGTTTTATATAGTTTTCAGAAGTCACTCTTTGGCTTAAAGCCATTTCCGAAGTAAAATCTTTTTCTAATGAGATCCAAAGCTCCAGAAATGGATAGAAAGTATCATTTTAACTATGTTATTTTGAAAAGATTTTACATCAAAGCTTTACAAGGAATGAGACTGTTATGGTTCTAAAATATTTTATCTATAACCCTCTGAGTTAGTAAGAAGTCAAAATACTAGAATCCAAGCAAGGAAGAAAACACATTTATCATTACCATCAATCTGATCTCATTAAAGGAATAACTCCAAATATGGAGCTGGGTGGGAGAGATGCATTAAAGAAAACCTGGGGCAGAGCTCATGCCCAATAATGACTCAAAAAGTGAAGTGTGCCATTGTTCTTGTCTGTATCTTTGCATTGTTGTCTCCACAAGAAGGACCACTAGCAGCCAGACAAAAAATTCAGAGTACTGCTGACTTTTCTGATGGGCAACTCTAGGGCAATTTATTTTAAGCATCAAATAGCAACTTAAAAAGAAATGATTTTCACTCACAACCTTATAGTGGAGTTTGCAGGGGGACAGCTTCTTCAAATTTCACTGCAACTATTTGAAGAAAACTCCCAGGCGATTAACTGCCTTGAATGCTGTATACCTTATTGCAGAAAGGAATTTTTCCCGGCAGACAGGGCATAAATAAAGCTTTGACAAATGCTTCAGTGTTGGTATTAATTTGAGAAAACTTAAAATTTGGGAGGAAAAACAGTTTTCTAATTTATTTAACAGCTCTTTACTGCTCTCTTCAGACTGTCATTAAAATTGCCTTACAAAGTCACCAAAGAGAAGGTATTTCAAATCTTTGGACATTTCTCATTTAGTATCTCTCCTTTTTACTACACCATTAAAATACGGTAACAGTTTGCATTCAATATGGGAAGGCAGTTAATCATAAAACATACCACAACACAAACACCGACACAGGCACACACACCCACACGCTCACACAGTATTATATTAATTTTAGGTTTCTTCAAAATCTTCAGTGTCTTTACAGGGCAACTGGTATTAATAATCTAAAATACAAACAGTGAAATGTGTTGTTTGAAATTAGCACACAGTTCCAATCTACCTGTTTACAATTTTCTTCCAAGTTTCCTTGTCCAGGCCCCAAGCAGGTGGAAGCTGACCTAGTGGGGAAATCCTCACCTACTGGACTACGTTGAAGTGGGGACTGGCAAACAGGAAAGGCAGGAGGACTGAATCAGAGAGAAGCAGCAAGTGCTTAACCTTGCCTATTTGCTAGCTGTAAAAGTATCTAGCTTCTTATATAAAATCACTGAGGCACATGAAATCAAAAGTTAGGAATAGTAAGAACAATTTGCTAGGTCCTTATTTAATAATAACCCTTTCTGGAAGTGGGAGTATTCTTGCTCCACGTGATGAAATGGAAGATCAGAGGTCAAAATGAGACTTGAAAGAGACTCTGAGTACTTTATCATAGTTAAGCTGAGATTCAAATCATATTTGATGGCAAAAACCCTTAGCTTTTAGATTTTAGATTAGGCCATGCTGCCTCTATAATCAGAAGTTTTTTTAAAAAAGTTAATTAGAAATTTCACTGTTCAAAGGCTATATATATACTTTTCCTGCTCCGGCTAACAGTGTCTTTAAACTTTGTACATTTCTTTGCCACGCCTTCATTTTTCATATTTGCCTCAAAACAACACTGGGGGCTAAATCAGTTATTCATGTGACAGACAGAATCACATATGATAAGCAAAATAGGCATTCTGAGTCTTAAAGTATAAACATACAATTAAAAATTCTATTGCTATTCCCATATTCCTTTTGATTGATCACATGGCTTCCTAAATGCTGAAAATTTCATACTCAATTTGTTCCATAAACAGCAGCAGCAATAAAACCAAAACAACCCTCAACAAAAACAGGAGTTACAACAGCAAATGAAGTAATATTTACCTATGCTTTCATACACTTTATTGCATTTAATCCTCCCACTAATGCCTGAGGCAAATATTATTATTCCCATTTTACAGACAATAAACAAGAACTCAGAGATTAAGTTACTTGCTCACACCTCTAAGGAGCGGCAGAGCAGGAGTCAAATGGAGGTCAAACTCCAGAATCTACTTTCTTTCTACCTCTGTTCATTGCATTACCTTATATCAAACATAGCACATTAAGAATGGTCTAGTGTACTTCTGCACA